TTATCGGAACGAAGTTTCTTCAAAATTTGGTTCCGATACAGCCAAAATCGAGGTTCAGTTTCGATAATGCATAGTGCGTTACTACTATGATCCTGACTTATCGACCCTGAACAATCAGACTATATAACTTTCCAACACTGAGCAGTCAGGGTGCTATTTTTCTGGAAAACATGCCTTCAGGGTAAAAACACAAATTTTAGGTGAACATCAGGGTACCTAAATTTGAAACGTCAGCCCTGGGCGGCGCCTGTGGTGGCTCTGGTTCGGGCTCCAACGACACTGCGGAGGTGACGCACGAGTCTGAGCTGAAGCGAGCGGTGGCAGCTTTCATGGAGCTTTCCGTCGGAGGGACAATTTTTAGCACAAAAAGCTAAGTGGAGAATCGCCTTCGAAATGTGACAAGTGCACTTTAAAGAACTAGCGAGGATTGTACTAACGGGGTAAACAGATAGAAATGTGAGCGTGTCCCCCTGGTTTGTTCACAGCTCATTTATCAGAGTTCAGGCTGGTAAGTACTGGTTAAATGCGGTTAAGTGAACAAGCTGCCCTATTTTGCTCACCACCAGGCCGAATTCTGCTGTTGGAGACTGTCAGCCATGCCTGCAGTAGCAGCGTCGCTTCGCGTCCACATCTCATCTCTCACCGCGCTTCCGCGCAAATCTTTTCTCCGGCCGCTCAAGCCGCTCCTGACTCCGTCTCTCGCCGGGCTGCTCGTGGCGCCACCCTCAGCCTCATCGCGCCCAGCCGTAGTTGCCATGGCGGCCGAGCCGCGCTGGCCCCATTCATCCGCGAATATAGAATCCTCGTTAGAACGCGAAACCCTGATTGAACTCTTGCCGTTGTGGGCGCAGCGAACGCTCTGTCCGGCCGGCAGTGGTTGCGGCGACGGCGAGTGCGAGCTGCTCCACGTGGACCCCTCGTGGCGAGATGTCCTGGCGAGCCGACACGTGGCGCATGGGGAGCAGAGCAGGGGCAGCAGTGGCGCGTGGGGCAGGCCGCGGCTGATCGTGTGCGCGGGACCAGAGAGGTCGGGTGCGCCTGCCACCACCCACTCATCGCACGCTCACAGCGTTAACGCTGCTCTTGACTTATGGGTTGACGCAAAAACACTGTTTCCGAGTCTCCAAGCTCTTTGTCCGAGCCGATGGGTGCTTGAGCCTCCGTCCATCCAACTCCGCGCTCGCAGCTGCCCCGCCGTCCACCTCACACATCGTTCCCCCCTTGTAACGCCTGCGCGCGCACGGCAAGGGTTAAAAAGCAACCCCCAATGCAACCCCCCTCCCCTTCCCCGTGCAATCCACCTCCCCCTTCCCCTCACCTCCCCGGACCCCCTTCACATCCCCGTTTCCCCCTGGTTTGGTTTCATCCCCTACTCACGCACATCGCACCCCCACCCCACCCGTCACGAACCCCATCCCCCTCTCGTGCCTTCCTCGCTGGACACCCCACGTCGCAGCCTTACTCGTCGCCCCCCGCTTCACATCCCCTCCCTCCCGGCCTTCCATCCAACTCCCGCCTCCGCTCCACCCATCCCCTCCTACCATTTCCCCATTTCTCCCCATCCCCTCCTCCCATTTCCACCTTTCCACCCAACACCCCCCTCAACCAACCCCCCTCTTCTCATCCCCTCTCTGCCCGATTGCAGGCTCCACGTGGCTATCCAGCGGTTCCACGTCCCTTCTTCACTGCACTGCACGCCCTACGCGGGCTTCCCGGGCTCCACCCCAGCCTCACATGCCCTCCCTCCCGTCTTCCCATCCCCCCTCCCATCGCCTCCCTGCCCGACTACAGGCTCCAAGGTTCAACTCACACAGCTCCCCGGCCCGTCCCCACTGCACACCCCACATCATGGCCTTCTTTGTCTCCCCCCCCCTCCCCCCCCCTTCCCGCCCCCAGCCTCTTCCACCCAACACCCCCTCCCATCTCCCTCCCTCCATCCAACCCCTCCTCCCACCTCACCCTTCCCCTCCCCTCCTCCCTGCAGGCTCCACGTGGCTCTTCACCGCCGCCACCCACTCCCCCCCTCCACCCACTCCCCCCCTCCACCCACTCCCTTCTACGCCCATCCCCTCCCCTCCTCCCTGCAGGCTCCACGTGGCTCTTCAACGCCGTCCGCCTGCTGCTCGCCCACTCGGGCCAGCTGGCGCTCTCCTATTGGCTGCACTCCATTTCCGCCAGCAAGCTGCGCGCCAGGGGGCTCTCGCCACTGGGCAGCCACGGACCTGGGGTGGGGGGCGGAGGGGGAGGGGGGTCCGTCGAGGGAACAGGGGGGTCCAAAGAGGAAACGGGGGAAACAGGGGATGGGGAGGGGGTGGGGATGGATGGAGGGGAGTGGGGGGGAGTGAACGTGGTGGTGAAGACACACGAGTGGGCGGAGGGGTGGGAGGTGGGCGAGTGGAGTGGCGTGGTGCTGCTGACTGAGAGGGACGTATGTGGCGTCGCTGACTCCTACCTCCGCGTCGGCTGGTTACCACACAGCATGCCGTGAGTCACAGCATGCCGTGAGTCACACAGCATGCCGCCTGGCCAGCCACCTTGCCGCGTCCTCACCAGCTTGCGTGATCGTGATCGTGTGAGCCCCTTGCACCAATCACTGCAGCCGCCTTGCACTGATCTCCTCCTCACCACCTCCTCTCCCGTCCCCCCTCTCCTCGTCCCACCTCTGCTTGTCCCACCTCTGCTTGTCCCACCTCTGCTTATCCCACCTCTGCTTGTCCCACCTCTGCTTGTCCCACCTCTGCTTCTCCCACCTCTGCTTGTCCCACCTCTGCTTATCCCACCTCTGCTTGTCCCACCTCTGCTTGTCCCACCTCTGCTTCTCCCACCTCTGCTTGTCCCACCTCTGCTTCTCCCACCTCTGCTTGTCCCATCCTCACCTGACTTTCTCTCCCATGACTCCTGCAGTTGCATGAGGGCCGTCCGTCGCACCTCCCCCCCCGCTCACAGGACAGAGAACGCGATTTACGTTGTCCTTGTCAGTCACACCTCCCCCCCGCTCACGGGACAGTCCTTGTCAGTCACACCTATCCCCCGCTCTTCCCTTTCCTTAAAACCGGAGGTCCAAGACTCTCAAACTTAGGAAGGTTGGTTGGACCAAGAAGCGCGACTGGCTCGCGAACCAGGGTGTTGTCGAAATCGGTGGTTGTGGGTCGCAAAGTATGAAAACCTCGCGAGTGTAACCAGATCTGGGATGCAACGTCAAAATTCATTAGCAGATAGTTTCGGATGGGCACGAAATCTGTTCACGAAACCGTCACTGCTATCGTCCAGTAATTTCGTGTGGCGAAAATTATCCCGACGATTTTTGAAGTTACGAAGTTTGAGTCAGTATCTACTGGGTCACACCCAACCAAAGTTAGGAAGTTCGAGGCAGTTTTGGGCTGTTTGGGACTCCGGTTTTAACCTGCCTTCCCCTCTACACGCCCTGCTTGCAGGCGCATCAAGGCCCACATGCAGGCCTACCTGCGTGACCACTGTTGCTGGAAGCACCACGCTGCTGCGGTCATCGTTTGCCTCCACCCCATTCACCCTACCATCTCCCCCATGCGCTCCCGCAGCCGCATCAAGGCCCACCTGCAGGCCTACATGCGCGACCACCATCGGTGGAAGCAGCACGCTGCCCTTGAACGTGTTGTACCACACCACTCCACGTGCATGCAGGCACATCAAGGCGCACATGCAATCCTACCTGCGTGACCACCAGCGGTGGAAGCAGCACGCGGCTGCCGTCATCCCCTTCGCCTCCATCGTGCCGCCCGGCAGCCCCTCGGAGCTGCTCTGCCTCTCCCGCCTCGCTGCCCTCCTGGGCCTCACCACCCTGGAGGGGGCGGCACCAGGGGCGGCGGAAGGGTCTGGGCTTGAGGCGATTCAAACGTTTGAAGGGGGAGAGGGGGCTGGTGGGAGGGCAGTGGACGTGCGTGCTGTGTCAAGAGCCCTTGCTCACCTGCCAGTCCCCACAGGTTCCACCTTTTCGCCCTCTCCCTTTTTTGTGCCACGTGCTGATTTTCAAGGCGCCTCTAAAATCAGTTCCCACAGGTGAGGCCTTCTGGCCTTCTCTCTGCCTTGCGCCGCAGGCTGGCGATGCAGCAAGCAAGCTGTGATCTTCATGCATCACCTTAGCACATGGCATCGTCCCCACTTCAAAGTCTCAATATATTTACCTCCCTCCTCCCACGTCCTCCTCCTCCAACCCCACTTCCCCCCCCCCCCCCTTTCTCGTTGGCCGCTCTCCTCCCTCTCACCCGCCACCAACGCTCACTGCAGGCTGGGCGCCTGACCCGGTGACCAAGCTGTGGCCGCGCCATAAGAACAAGGGGGGGTCAGCCAGGGGCCTGACAGGAGAGGAGAGGGCGGAGCTGCAGCAGTTTGTGGCGTCCTTGGCGCCACCAGCCAGAGCACCCTCGGAGTAACTCACCTCGGAGTAGCTCGTGTGGGAGTATTTGACCAAGCAGCGGCCTCGCGACAAGAACAGCCCACATCGACAACAGGTGCTCAGCAAGGGGCCTGAGAGTGGAGAGGGCGGAGGTGCAGGTGTGGGTGGAGTCCCTGGCCTGGCACTACCCGCCCGTGCAGTGCATCCAAGGTGTAGCTAGCCGTGGTGACCAAGCCGTGGCTTCGCCATACCAGTGCAGCAGCACAGCCTAACAAGCAGGAGGCAGCAAGGGGCACAGCAAGAAGGGCACCCAACCTCAAGCAACTGCAAGCGCCATGCCATGTACAGCATCGCGCTTGCCATGGTATTCTCACAACACAACACTGGTGGGCGCAGGCCATGCCTACGTGCTCATAGCAATTGAATGCAACTTCCTGGGGTCTCACAAGTTTGTGGAACATCATCAACAACTGCCTTTTTGCCTGCTACATTCCACTCCATGTTGCACAATTATAGCACACACCGTGTTACATTTGGGCTCCATCAAAAGTTACAAACACTAATGAGTACAGTTCAGCAAAGAAAACTGTCGTTATTTGCAATAATCACTTTTTTCTGGTTGGTGCACTCATTGGTCTCTGGAAAAAGCAGCAGCGACACAAGGCTTGATGCTGAGCATGGTGGGCAGAATGGAAGTGCTGCTACGCATGCCTAATCCATCATCCCCTTGACTGGTGCTCCTCAGGCCACTGCATGTGAAAGAAGAGAGTGGAGGTATAGGATGGACACAGACAAGAGGCATAGGATGTGATTATGGTGGTGTAGGATGGCAAGCCGCACATTGCTGCAGGGTACGAAGGACGAGGGTGAGAAGGAACAGGGTGAGAAGGTCGAGGGATCAAAGCAAGAGGCTGGGCACAGGGTGGTAAGGAGCAGGGAGGGAACAGTGTGAGAAGGACGAGGAACAGTGCAGCGGCACAAGCTTGTAGGGAGGGAACAGTGTGAGAGGGACGGACACAAGCTTGTCAAGCGGGATGTACTGGATGGGAGCGGCGCATGAGAGGCATCGCTCACTCAAAGGGAGGCAACCTCAGGGAGAGTCAAAGGGAACCGAGCGGCGAGCGGTGGTTAGGGAGGAGCAAATAGTGCTGCCATTCGAGACTCACACTCACATGGAAAGATGTGACGAGGCAAGAGAACGAACACAACATCAACACTGTAGGAGGCTTGAGTCTCAGGCACTCATGTTTGGGTTTCACTCCCTCATGGTGCACTCGTACCCACTGATGATGATCATGATGATGATGCATCACTCACCACGGCACTGCTCCGCATTGGTGTCAAAGACTTGAGGGGCGGGTCACACACACGTCTTGTTGCCGTCCACCAAGGTGCACGTTGCTAATCCACATGTCTCACAGCCTTTGAGACACGCATGGGGCGTACGTGGTGGCAGGGGGGCGGGACAAGGTGAGGAGGAGGGAGAAGAATGATGCAGCGAGGCGTGTAAGCATGAAGCATGGGCTCACTGTAAGAATGGGCTCACAGCAAGCAATAAGTGAGTCAGTTGAATGAGGGACCACTAGTAGTATGCGTGCAAAAGAGAAGCCACTAGAATTTAGCAAGAGCAAAGCAGCAAAGTGATGTCTCACGCCACGACACACCACACCGCACCACACCACACCACACCACACTGCACTGCACCGCACCACACCGCACCACACCGCACCATGCGGCAAGCTCTGGGATGTCACAGCTGTGACGCACGGTGCAGTGCAGTGCAGTGCGGTCGACGGGACATATAAACTGCCCCCTTACCTTAATGGACAAGCGTGCGTGTGACAGCTTGCAAGTGAGTGCGGGCGGGTCCAGTGGTGCAGACTTACCCGTCCAGCACTTGATTGACCCTGGCAAGTCCTTGGCTGTCGCGAGGGTCCTGAGAGCAGCAGCAGCAGCGAGGGCGAGAGCAGGAGCACAGGAAAGGATCAGACGTGAGACACGTAGAAGGAGGAGAGGGCAACAGATCCGCATAAATCGTCCAACTGCATCCCAAGGAAGGTTTCACCACGGTGCGGCATGGGAGCTCACCAGTTGGTGAAGGAGCTGCTGGTGATGGGCAGAGGGCGCTGGAACGTCACGGAAGGATTCCTCTTGCAGTCCGCGATGGGGTGGAAGGCGATGCTGATGCACTCGCGATTCAGCTGCGGCACGTCCTGGATGCCCCACTGGATGCTCGCGTTGATTGGGGGCGTCGAGAACAGCCACGCGACATTTTTGCGCGGATTATCGTTGAAAAAAAAGCGAGCGGAAGCAGTACCCTTTCCCTGGAATGCAACAAACGTGTCGTAGACGTCGGCGCCACTTTTTGGGATGAGCGCGAGAGAAACGAGGCCAGCGAGGAGCGTGGCGACGCCAACTTGAAGGGCGGCGGAACGCTGGCCGGCGCGTGCCATGGCGACGAGAGACGGGGCGTGGTGACTGCGAGCCGTCCGCACTATCGTGAGCTGACGCTTTTTGAAGCCCCTCAAAAGACACGTGATGCGGTTTGCTCTGTATGTTAGTAGTGCTGCTGGTGGCCCCGATGCGAGATGGCGACGCAAAGTGAAGCGATACGTGAGGGGAAAGCGAGAAGGTGGGAAGCTCGTGTGGAATGGTGAGACATGGTGACAGGGAAGGGGGGATTTATGTAGTGAGAATGCGGCTGGCGCGACGGCGATGCTAACCGAGGGGGGACGAAGATGGGAGATGAAGGGAGCTTGAACGACCCACCGCGGGTGGACGACTGCCGCTTTTTTGCGCTCTGAAATTTTCAGGGCCAGTTTCGCCATCCTGACAGCCCGGATTTCCCTATTTTTCTTTACCCTGGACCAGAAACTATTTTCGCATTCCCTCCCCGTTTCCCTAGCGTTCGTGATTTGGCAAAAAACGTGCTGTGCTGTCGAAGCGCAAAAGAGTTGTTGCTGCTCAGCTGGGCGTGTGTGCTGTGCTGACTCACAATGACCACACGAGTGACAATGAAGTATTTGCTGACTGACAAATGGGTGACTTCAATGACTTCAAGGCCGCCATGGCCGTTTGCAAGATCGCTTACAAGGGGGAACAACAGACCCAATGCATCCGAAACATAGAATCTGTTTATATTATACTTATGGTACTTAGAGAAAGCGACTAACTATGTTATCCCGTCTTTAAAACAGACTTGTTAGTTCCTTATTTTGTTATTCATTAAGGCATTTTTTTTACGATTGATGGCTGTTCATGGGGAATTTTTTTCATTTTATTTCATAAGCAAAATTGTTTTTTATGTGTCAGCTTTTTGGGTAGCATCTTCATGCTCTTGCTGTCATTTGACACTAGGTTCCAAATATTGTGTTTTCGTGTTTTTTATTTATTTATATCATATGCCCAACTATCCAGCTCTTCGCCCCACTGATTTTTTTTTTTTTCCACACAACGCATTTGTCATATTCGACTTTCTTGATTTTGGTGAGTATAACCGAAATCTGGTGTATTTTTATTATAGAAACTGGTTCGTGCCTGGTTGGCAGAAATGTTTCTTGGACCCTCCCTTTCCCCACTGTCAACTCTCCTCCCTTCTTGGGGGTCCCGTTTCTTGAATTTAAGAACTCTGATCTCCCGTTCTCTCCCAAATACCTTCCCAACCCCGTCGCCATTCCCTACCAAGCATCTCGTTTTTAGTAACACTCTGCCGTCACCTCTCCCTCACTCCCGGCCGTCGCCTCTCCTCACTCCCCACCGTCGCCTCTCCCTCCCTCCCCGCTGTCACTCTCCCTTCCTCCTCGTCGTCGCCTCCTTCTTCCTTCCCGCCGTCGCCTTTGTTGGGTGCACGGGCACGAGCGCGGGTTGCTGCACGACTGCGCGTTGCTTTCGCAGGCACGGTTGTCTCACTCCGAAATGTCCTATATTTTCAAATTTCCTTGTAAGTTCTCTGTGCCAATTAGTCTCCTCTTAGCATTGTGCCTCCATTTTAAGAAGGGGAGAGAGGAATTGTGAGTGAGTGTGTGCGCACGGGAGTGAGCACGCAGGAGCGCTGTCGCCTATCGCGCTGGCGCCTAGCGCACTAGCGCCTAGCGCGCTGCGCCAAGCGCACTGGCGCCTAGCGCGCTGGCGCTTGCTGCGCTGGTGCCTTACGCGTTGGCGCTTAGCGCGCTGGGGCCTAGCGCGCTGGCGCCAAACGCGCGGGCGCCAAGTGCGCTGGCGCCTAGCGCGCTGGCGCTAAACGCGCTGGCACCAAGCGCGCTGGCGCTTAGCGCGCTGGCGCCTAGGGCGCTGACGCCTAATGCGCTGGCGCTTAGAGCGCTGGCACCTAGCGCGCTGACGCTTAGAGCGTTGGCACCTAGCGCGCTGGCGCCTAATGCGCTGGCGCTTAGCGCGCTGGCGCCAAACGCGCAGGCTGTCAGAATGAACGGACTGGAATGATTGAACTAACAGAGAAATCAGTACAAATAGCAAACCCTAGAATTGTGTACCCCATATAGGCTAACCCACTGTAGCCTAACAAACGCAACATATATAATGTTTGACACACCCCCATAGGCAAAGTGGGGGAGACCTAGGGGTCACAAGACCAGTCAAGGCAAAGCAAGGCAACAACAAGCTCAGGGTGGATCTCGAGGATTCCACACAAATTCCGAGCACAAGCTAGTGGTCACAAGACCAGTTCACATGCAGGTTTATAACAGAGCCAGAGATACAGTGATCACAACCTAGCAAGAGTAAACATGCAGGTATAGATATTGTCAAGATAGGTAGTAGAAAGTTTAGAGGCAGAAAGAGGAGTTGCACTAGCAAGCAGTTGAGTACATATAGGAACCCTAGATTGGGCTGTACTCGCTATAGAGTACCCCACTGCAGACTAGACAAATACAACATTCTGACACACCCCCATAGTCAAAGTGGGGTATAATCAGCAGAGCAAGCAGTCATAGAGCAGATTCACAAGTGCATGCAAAGCTAGAGGCATTCACAAAGGGCAAGTGAGGAGGAGGAGGCGAGACTGTAGGTGGAGAGGAGATAAGAGGCGTCGGCTGAAGCTGCAGACACACGGGCAACAGGAGTCAAACTGGCTCAGTGGCTACCGGAACAAGCGCCCCGGACTACAGGAGTAACTGGCTCCGCGGCTAAGAAGAGCGGCAGACGAGCAACGGACCCACGGGCGACTGGCGCAGCTGGCTACGACTGGGCTACCGGAACAAGCGCCCCGGACTACAGGTGCTGCTGACGACAAGACGGCAGCCTCCGCTCAACCTCCCCCGACTGTCCCACCCCCCTCTCACACACCCCCTGCTGGAACCCTAGCTCCACTCCCACGTCACCCCCCTAGCACCACTCCTTCGGCTCCCACACACCCACCCCCCTGAGCGGCAGCTGCAGCAGCGGGAGACGGAGGAGGAGGAGGAGTAGGGGACGAGGCACTCAACCTGCACCCCCACAACCGCCACCCCCACACTCTTCACCCCCAAACCCTAATTTAGGAGAACGGGCTGTAGGAGGGGTGAGGCGCCGGTAGAAGCACGGGGGACAGTGGAGAGGGCAGGAGCAGCGAGGAACGGGCCGCCCACGGGCCTGGTAGAGCCGCCCGAACCGCGCGCAGGCGGCCCGAGCCGCGCGCGGGCCTGGCGCTTCCCGTACGGGCCGCGCGCGTGCCTGGCGCAGCCCGTACGGGCCGCGCGCGGGCCTGGCGCAGCCCGTACGGGCCGCGTGCCGGGTGTACGGGCCGCGCGCAGGCCACGACGGGCGACGGGGGGCGACGCGCGGGTCCCCGTCGCCCGTCGCAGCGCCTCCCGGGGGCGACGTGCCGAGTGACGGGGCAGGAACCCGCCGCGCGCCTCGGGGCACACGGCGGGCAGAGAACCGCCGCGCGCCTCGGGGCGCACGGCGGGCAGAAAACCGCCGCGTGCCTCGGGGCGCACGGCGGGCTGAAAACCCTAGTTTCGACGCCGCGCGCCACGGGGCGCGCGGCGGACAGGGAGTAGCAGTAGCAGTAGCAGTAGCAGCGGAAGGCTTAGGTGGTGGGCCCACCCACAGGATCGACCCAGGAGGGTCGACCTGCTCTGATAGCATGTCAAGATAGGTAGTAGAAAGTTTAGAGGCAGAAAGAGGAGTTGCACTAGCAAGCAGTTGAGTACATATAGGAACCCTAGATTGGGCTGTACTCGCTATAGAGTACCCCACTGCAGGCTAGACAAATACAACATTCTGACAGATATATATAGTGATCACAGTACAAGCAAAGTCAAGAGGTAAGCAAGTGAGGTCCAGTAGGCACAAGGCCTAGTAGAGTGCAGAAGCGCTGATGGTCACGAGGCTGAAGCGCCTTGGTGAACACATCAGCAGTGTTGGCCTCAGTGGCCACGTAGCGAATACAAAGCTGACCGCGCTGCTGCAGCTCTCGAGCAAGGAAGTACCGCAGGGCGATGTGCTTCGTTCTGTGCTCCAGTCTGTGCTCCTCACACAAGGCAATGGCAGCCTTGTTGTCGACGTACAGTACTGGAGGAGAACGAGGCCGCTCTCCGAGGTCGGTCAGCAGGTAGGTCAGCCAGCGTAGCTCCTGGGCAGCCATGGCTGTAGCGTAGATCTCAGCCTCGCAACTGGAGCCGAGAACAGAAGAAGAGCGTGTAGAGCGCCAAGAAACTGAGCCAGAGCCAAGGCTGAAGGTGTAACCCTGAGACGACCGCTGAGTGGCCTGGTCGTCTGCCCAAGAAGCGTCTGAGTGCCCTGTGAGCACAACTCGGTCTCGCCCTCCAAGCACAAGCCCCATGCCCGACGTACTGCACAAGTAGCGTAACACCCTCTTAGCGGCATCCATGTGCTCCTTCCTGTGACGGCCAGGAGCGACATAGCGTGCAAGGATGCTAAGAGGGTATGCAAGGTCAGGTCGAGTGCAGGTCATCAGGTACATGAGGCAGCCCACAAGCTCTGGATACGGGCCACTCGGCTCTACGGACTCATCCGAAGGCAGAGCTGAGAGCGAGTGACCGGTAGGCAGAGGAGTGGACTGAGGCGAGGAGTACGTGAAGCCAAAGCGCTGGAGAACCTGCTGCACCATGTGTGACTGAGTCAAGGTGATGGTGCGCCGTGCTCTGTCCCGGGTGATCCGCAAGCCAAGATAGCTTGTCAGCTCACCCAGGTCTGTGCACGTGTGTCTCCTCTGCAGCTCCGACTTCACGTAGGCGAGTCCTGCAGTGTCAGCAGTGGCAAAGACCAAGTCGTCGACGTACACGAGGATGTAGAACGGCGGCAGCGAAGTGTCGGTGCGCAGGAACAGCGACGGGTCAGCTGTAGAAGGCGCGAACCCAAGAGCCGCAGTGTGTCGTGCCACTCACGCGGTGTGTCGTGCCACTCACGCGGAGCCTGGCGGAGACCGTAGACCGGCCGCTGAAGCCTCCACTGGGTACCAGGAGGAAACGACCCAGTGAAGCCAGGTGGGCGG